CTTTGACTTTGTTAATTCTGTTTAGTTTTAGCTTTTAACTACTTCTTGCTGTTTATTTTATTAGGGTTTATTCTGTTACTCATTTTCCAAGTTAGTTACTTAATTCATTTCTTTGAGCCATTCTTCTTTCATAATATAAGCTTTTAAGACTATAAATGTCCCTCTCAAGTCATTTTAGCTGCATTTCTCGTATTTTTAATATGTAGATTTCCAGTTCCACTCTGTTTTCTAATTTCCATTATTTTTCTTTGAGCCATTGGTTACTTAGAAATGTTTTTTAATTTCTGAATTATGGGTTTTCTATTAGCTTATTTCTAAAATTTGCTTTGTGTCAGAGAATGTGTTCTGTGTGAATTGATACTTTTAAATTTGGTAAGATTCACTTTATAGTTGGCATGGAGTCAATTTTTATTATTGTTTTATATGTGATTATAAAGAGCTGCTTCACATATGCCCATTAGATCAAATTTGTTTTTTAATTGTCATTCACATTTTCTCTATTCTCATTGAACTTTTTTTGGTTGTTATTTGATCTATAAATTACCAAGAATTTTTTTTAATCTTGATTTATGATAGATTTATGCTTGTAGTTCTGTATTCACATTTTTTTTAAAAATTTGAGACAGGGTCTCATTCTGTTGCCCAGGCTGGAGTCCAGTGGCCTCATCATAGCTCACTGCAGCCTCAAACGCCTGGGCTCAAATGATCCTCCCAGCTTAGCCTAAGTAGCTGGGACTGTAGGTGTGCGTGCACCACACCATGCCTGGCTAATTTTTCTGTTTTCTTTTTTTGAGAGATGGGATCTTGCTCTTGCTCAGGGCTAGTCTCTCGAACTCCTGGCCTCAAGCAATCCTCCTGTCTCAGCCTCCTGGAGTGCTAGGATTGTTCACATATTTTGAAGCTCTATAATTTGGAGGATACAGGTTAAGAATTGTTTTGTCTTCCTGGGGGGAACTTTTGTCAGTGTCTACTTTTTTCCCCTGAAGTTTTTTGTGTGATATTTTTGGGAACCAGTTTTCTTTTGGTTGGTGTCTACTTTCATCCATTTACTTTTTAACTTTTTTCCTTTTTGTCTTAGGCATAATTCTTGTAAACATTATGCAGCTGAATTGTTTTCTATCTAGCCTTGGTATTAATGCTTGCTTTCTTTCTTTTTTTGGAAATAAAGGATTCTGGTTGATCTGAAAAATGAAGTTTGGTATCAAAAATGTCATGACCCTGTATGTAAAGCAGAAAACTTCAAATCTGACTGTGAGTTATTAATTTTTGCATTTTTCTCAAAGTAAAAATTAGGTATCTATATAAAACAGTTTATTCTCTTTCTGATTCAGGTTTTCCACTACCTGCTGAAGTATGTCTCCTGTTTCTTTTCAAAGACGTAAGTGCAATTTTTAGTGTCTTTTCATTACAAAGTAGTTCTTGGTACAGTAATGTAAATGAGCTATGAGTAGTGTCTGTGTGTGTCCAGATAGCTTTTAAACTGTGTTTGGTACCTTGTTTTCACTTAGGAATATACTGTACCAATTTTCCCATCTTACCACATATCTGATGATATGCACCTCTTTCTTTTTTACTGCTGCATGAGAAATTGTGTAATTAATTTAACCAGATCCAGACATTTAAGAAGTTTCTTATATTTTTGTTTTACAAAGTAAACCAAAATTCTCATCTTTGTGTTTCTTTGAACTATATCTGTAGAATGAATTTCTAGAAGAATTTTGCCAAAGAGTATATGCAGTTTTAATTTTGGCAGATATTACCAGATTGCCAAACCAGCATTTTTTTTTATAAAGACTTTTATTTACCCAAATAATTAACATGCATTATA